TTACCTATTATGAATGGTGATTCACAAGTATCTAAATATATAATTAGTTTAAATTCTGCTTCCTGTAATAAATATTATAACAATTTAATAAAATGATCAATTAAATATATTTCTGAATAAATGTAATGAATAAAGTGTTTGCATGTCAGTCATGGTAAAAATAATTGTAATGTTTGAATTTAATTGCTTCAATGATTTTAACTTTTGTATTTTTTCACATGCACGATAAAATATCTAATTATCACTATATTACGTGACTGATTCGAAAAAAAAAAAAAAAAACAAACAAAAAAAACAAAAACAAAAAAAGAAAAAAGAAAAAAGAAAAATAAAAATAAAAATAAAAACGTAAGATTACTAAAGAACGTAAATATATAAATTAACGATATAAACGATTTTATATTATCAAACAAGCATCCACTTTCAAATAATATTTCAACATTATTTACTTCGATGAGAAATTCCGGAAACGCGTGAGTCTTTTTACTGAGAATAAATACATAAGCGTGAGAAAGTTTTCACGAATTCTTTAACATATAATAAAGGAAAGTATCCCTTGATACTTTGTCTTAATAATTGAATGTTTATTTATCATTGCATCCTTTAATGAAATAACGAACAATATCAAATGATTACATTTCGAAAAATACGTTTCGTAAGAAAAAAAAAAAGAATCATAAGAAATTTGAACGTGCAAAAAAAATGTAAACTTTGATTTGATAAATGTCAAAACATTAAATGTGAGCAAATCAGGTATCCTTTCGCAAAGACATCTTACTTTGGACTGCGAAGTTTCACCGCAATTGAAGGGGGGCGGGGAGGGGGGAAGGAAGAGGATAGGGGGTTGGGAGGGAGAGGGGAAGGCGATATTTGGAATTCCTGACGTCTCATACAAAATGCATCGACACTTATCTTAAAATCATGAAGGACTATTAAAATTTCTCGGCAAGTAACAACAGTATCCTTCATTACCCTTATGGAAAAGTAATGTGTGACCTCGCTATACACGTAGATTGTCAGGCGCATGCAGGTATGGGATAAACGGCCGTGGAAAATCTCGCGAGCCCAACGCGATTAGTTTTCATTACGGAGGTTCATGAAAATGGCCCACATTGTATAAAACGATCTCCATCAACGTTATAACTATTTATTTATTCGTACGTCTTGGACAAACGGCGATTACGATCGATATATAAATTCGATTTATGATTAAATTTCTCTAACGAAACTCGTATGAGCGACGTGAAAGATATACTGACAGATCTCAATCTATGTACATTTTAAGCTACGTTCGCACTCACATATTACTGATTACTTGCGATATGGAACAAAGGTATACAAGGTCGACGTTACATTGGATAATACATTTATGGGCATTCGCCCAACCATCCAATCACATTTTAATTTGTAAACGCTTTAAATATCTTCACCAATCGTTATTCGTCGATTATTAAATAACGATCATATTTGAATCTTATTCAAAGCACAACAAATGTTTCATATATACTGTTATTGTGTATGTAAAAAATTTTTTTACATACTTTTTTTACTCAAAAATTTTTTTACTCATACTTTGTTCTTTTTCTTTTTCTTTTTTTTTGTTAATTACATACATTTATAAGTGTCTATGCATTAATAAACTTAAGATATTTTTTTTTTTTTTTTTAATTGAAAATTGAAATTAAATTTTACAAACGAAAATTTACATCATTCTATTTTATATAGTTTCATAATCTTATAACCATTATTTAACACGTGCCATAACATTGATAATTTTAAAACATATCAAGAAAAATACATAGTCAATGTTCCATAGATATTAATAAACTGTAAACTACATTAGCTATATGTTATATATAAATATAACATATAGTTAGTCTTAATATTAAATAAATCATTTTTATTAGACTTTGTCATTTTTTGACAAGTCTATTTGCATCCAACATATTATGTAATACAATGTAAATGCACATTTCTACATTAATCATGTACCTTACATAAATTTGCATTGTTGCATTAAATGCATTATATTGATTATAATAATCTTATTATAATAAAATGAAAAAAAATAATATTCTTTTATGTCGATTTAGAAGAACTAATATTTTTAACTTTTCTATTCATTCTTATTTAGGATACTGAAATATTCTTTCCTACATACATATTATGAAATAATTATCTTTTTTTGTTTTTCTTTTTGTAAGAATATAAAACAAGTTTGATTTATATCGCGACGTTATAATGTAAAAATATGATATAATAAACAAGTATACATAATGTATGACTTGTTTTACAGAAATTATGAAAAATCTAACTAATAAACTCTGAATATTCATCACGCCTTCCAAAAATTTGGATTTTGTTGTAATCTTCTTTCAAAAGTTTCATACCATCCTTGTATGGTAGACAGTGGTACAAAATTTTCTGTAGAATTTGGAATTATTTGTGCTTGAGTTACAGAAAAACTGGAGACATAATTTAAGAAACTTGTAAGCATTTTTTGTACAAATTCTACGAAAGAATTTGTTGCTGCTTCAGAAACAGTAGCAGCTTGTTGCTCTATTACATTCAATGGTTCAACAGAAATTCCAATTTGTGCTACATGAGATATCTTGCTAACTCCAAATATTCCTAAATTACTATTTTCAAATTCATGATTTTTCTTCAATGTTGATATTTTGAAAATGGCAGATGGTTTAACATTTGAAATAAACCCTAAAAATTGCCAGTTAGGTGGTGCATTTGAATCTGGCCAACTAAAATATACTGAAAAAAAAAAGAAGTGAAAAATTAATTGTAACGCAAATAATTAACTTTATCAAATATTTTTAGAGTTACTGTTGTATACCTGCACCGCCCATTCCATCAGGAAATGGAACACTACCTGTAAGAAACACTACAATATGATTTATGTTATCAGCATCAGGTACTGTAATTAAAAATTGATTTTCTCCAATTTGTTGAAAATCCGTCTGCACCTAAAAGACGAAAAAATATTCATTATAATGATTGAATATTTTCGAAATGCGGAAAAGATGTTAACAGCCAATAATCAATTTGATAGAAATTAAAATTCACGTATTTTTCAAGTAGACGTAAATATTTCGATCGAAGGATATTAATGATATAAAAAAAAAACGATAAGGATATTATAATTGGAAAATATACTTACTAAACGACCAGATACGATTATACCAAGCATCATGAGACTGCAACTAGATCATTATAAGATAATTAGGTCATCACAATATAATATAATATAATAGTTGAATAATATTTTTCATTAAATGAACGTGTTTACGACGTTTTTACAGCTTCGACAATGCGAACGCCGCTAACAGCGATTTGTCATAGAATATGTAATTTGTAAGATCGGATGTCTCGACGAAAAAAAAAAAAAAAAAAAATCAGAATCGAAATTTTGGTCAGTTTACAAGAATCGTATACACCTTATTTGCAATTTACAAAGCATTCACAGGAAATGAGATTCAATGAGAATGTCCATGGGAATATCATGCTAACAACCAATCAAATGTGATCTTTTTTAATTGTCCAACAAAAATAGTTGGCAATAATTGATAAGGTTGTGTTTAAATTTTATCAAAATAATATTGTAATAATTAAAACAGTAATAGTATTTTTTTTTTTCAAAGCTCAGACAACGTAATTTGAAAAATTAAAGGTTAAAATCATGAAACTATTTGTATAATAAGAAATCAATGAAAAAGAAGATATTATTTCTGTATAACAGTTAATAAATGTAAACTAATTTATCATTTAATCAGATCAATAACAAAGAGAGATTATTTTTTATCTACAATTATAAGTATTTACATGAATACAATGAATAATTGACTATCGATAAAAATCGAGCTTATATTTCAAAACTTCATGAATTTTAAACAATAAGATCAATGGTCGCGCTAAGAAAAGCGAAAGAAAAAAAAAATCGTTTGGATTCTTTGTTTGTACAAAACATGCTGCGTACGTAAAGATCGCACGATAAGAAAGTCGTATGACGTCGTATATACTCATACAGTATGACAATATATACACATGTCACATGATATAAGTATGTGTCATAATAACATATAATTTATAAACGATTGTATCATCTCAGTATCGGCTTCTTCGTCAGAAAACATTTTATCAAGATATTGTAACCTTTTATCCGATATCCTATTTGTCATCTTACCACTAGTCTCGTTAATACGTCGTCAATTCGTTTCTTTGTATTTTTGCGTTAAAGTAAAAAAAAAAAAAAAAAAAAAAAAAAAAGAAAAAGAAAAAGAAAAAAGAGAAAAAGAAAAAAAAACGGAAAAAGAAAAAGAAAAAGAAAAATAATTTCTTTTTGAAATACGTTTAAAAATCTATATACTCCTTCGACGCAAAAATGATTCTTCCCTTGTTTAGAGCGAATTGAATTTCTTAAGACGCCCACTCTATTAGAGGACGACGTAAAAGTAAGATTCGATCGACAAAGCGTAACAAGCTAGCGATACCATATTTGATCAAAAACCGCGTTCAACATTTTGCACATGGGACTCCCTTTTACTACGGAGGCAAACGGAGGCGATTAAGAATCGATTTGAAAGGTTATCGTGTGCCAAGAGTAGTAGAGAGGAGTGGAGAGCCAAAAGGGAAGTGAGGTGAGGAAAGGAAAGGAAAGAAAATCAAACGTCATCTCTACCCCTTCTCTTCTATTATCGCATATCATTTTCGAATCCTTGCCGCTACTTCAGGATAACTTCGATTGATTCAGAATAATGAATGATCAAATCAATGTATTGCTTCATACATATAAAAGGCTCTTCGCTTACACGATATTTATATATGTGATGTGATCTCATGAGGAATGACACAAATGTAATTTGCAGGATGTAAAATTCGAAAAGCAACGTGTCCGCCCCACCATCCAACCATCAACCATCATCATCATCATCACCACCACCACCATCACGACCACCACCGCCATTACCACCACCTCTTCCATCACCTCC